TACATCTTCTATCATCGATCAAGAAGTTAAAATTGAAGGTTCTAATCAAAGCAATGTCATGGAGATATAAATGTGTAGATAAATAAACAAGCTCACATATATTATGCAAAAACTGATAACATATAAGATTAAGCAAACCTCCTGTAATTCTTTGGCTCGTTCACTACATAGCATTCGTTCGCAGAGAGCAGGTGAGAGATTAGCTTGTAGTCCATAATACCCAAAGTTATTACCATAACCTAATTCTACACCCAGTGTTTCGCCATCATCACCATTCGCTGATGGTGGCTCCATATATGGAGTGAACATTGGAATCTCTTGCGAAAACTGTAATAATAACGGTTTCCAATATAACCACTCAAAATTGCATGATTAAGATCTTAGTAATAATTGTTCGAATAATTATGATTAAATTGGTGATGATCGAAATTAGGTACGATAAATGAAGGTGCACATTTTGTATTTAGACAGAACTACTGAAACCGCCACCACTGACATTCTAAATCAAAATCTCAATTCTTATGACCAGTAAAAATAATGTGTTTAGCCGCAGTAATTATGATCAATTTATGGTAAGAGATTGATTATAGCAAAAAAATATATAAAAATAGATCCACATACTATAAATTGAAAAATAAAAAATTTTTCTTCTTTTGACTTAGAAATAGGCAGATATGAGTTTGCTGTAGAAAAAGAAAAAAAAATTAAATTATCATCGACAATTGTGGATCGCACCAATCACTAGATGATGATAATGATGATGCACTTTCGCATCAAACACACAATCGCGAAAAATTCGCTTTAGTGCTTTCTTTTCCTATGCTCTCTTGCATTCTACAACTCTCCATTTTAGTTGCAAAATTACACTCCAATGAATTTCTTTTATTTTCTTAACAACGTTTCTATCACTATCAACTGCATACTTAAAAAACTGTACCTCATCAAATTTACATTCCTGATGGATTTTGAAAATTTTTAGCAAATCAGTTTCCCTTAGTTATGAACAATTACGCTATGATGAGATAACACCAAATATTTTCTCTGTTACTTCTCTTAAACAAAGAGATCACAAAATCTGATAGAAAAGCTGCAACAAAAATGGAATGGGTTTTTATGAACCCATTAATATATCTCTCTCATAAAACGGATATAATCTTTTGAAATGAACAAATCATTTAATTGGGATGTCTAACAGGATTGCGAAGTCGAAATCTTCTAAATTTAAGAAATTCATCTTACAAAATTGAGAAAAATCCTTTTTTTCTGACTCACACAAATAGAAATTAATGAAAATCAGTTAAAAGCTATAAATTTAAAAATGCAAATGTTTTTTCAAAGCTATTCACTTTAAAAAATTATCCGCTCTTTCCATTTCAAATCAACATTTCTAACAATATACTAAGAGTTTTCTATTGAACTTGTCAACAAAACTGTATCTGTATTAAACTTACATAAAAATATTTTAAATTTAAATCTTGCCTTTGATCTCATTGTTGATGAAACTTTTAAATTTAGCAATGATTATCAGATCAAATGAGATGAACTAAAATGGGACCGATGAATAAGAAGCTATCGAACAACAACAACAACAAAACTGAAGGAAACAAAGGACAAAAGACTAGAGAGAGAGAGAGATATGATTGTGTAAAAATTTTTCTTAAGATACAAAATATATTAGGGGGAATTGTAGCAGTATAGTTAATAGGAAAAATGCATAAATCTAAAGTAGTAATGAAATGAGCATTTATTCAACAAAGCAGACCAGCTGGTATACTTACAAAGAGCAAAGAGAAATGGCATGGTTTCTCGTGTATACACTTTTCCACATCATCCATCCCAGTCGCTCAGTCCCGTCCCATTCAACAATTTTGGTGCGCTCAATGAAACTCCTCTCCTCTTTTCTATTACCAAAATCACTCGGTCACTAATTTCGATCAAATTACATCATTAAATCCCATACTCTATGCCCATTTATCTCTTCTCTATTTCTATATAATAATCTTCAAACAACAACGGGTGCGCAAACGGCGCACAATAGTGAAACGAATCTCTTTAAACCACAGAAAAAAAATAAGATATTCATTCATTCATCTATCA